GCTGTCATCGGTTCAAATGGGTCACGTGCGTGGTACATGTTCAAAGGCCTGAAGTAGAAAGTAGAAATCAAAAGTAGTCTTAAATAGATTATGGAATTAATTATAACCTACAACGAACGTTCACCGTCTGTTATTACCTCTTGTATAATTATATCTCTTGCCAAAGGCCTATTGAAATACTTATCGATAATAACAGTCGTATGCAAGTTTAAATGACGATCGCAATAGTACGTTTATTTGGGTGATATTCAAATCGGCCCAGCTACTGTAGCCCTTCTTTAATCCGTTTAACATGAAAAACATTTAGCCGTTGTTTCTGCCCATGGGTTTAGGTGCTATAAGGTAAAATAACTTAGGTACCGAGCCTGAAGCTAAGAAGGGCTTAGTAGTAGCCTAGAAGTTATAATTTGAATCAACGTACTAATGCGATCGCTATTTAAACTTACGTGCGACTGTTATTATCGATGAGGATTTCAATGGGGCTTTGGCAAGATACGATTATACAAGAGGTAATAACAGAAGGCCAACTTTCGTTGTAGTTTATTGATACTGAATACTACGATCTACTTTGGACTGCAGATTAATCTTAGATCTGCTTTAGACCTCTGAACACAAGTACCATGTATCCTATAGCTCATGCCATACCATGAATTCTTCGTAGGATTTATCTCCCAAAGCCTCCTTGACACGATCATTTACCAGAGGGAAAGAACGTACAAAGAACTGAAACCACAACCACAACATAATAAAATTTAATTCACTTTTAGTTTGGATGGAAAACATCTAATTTCTACTAATATTTTCACTGCATGGTTTTCATTATAATTTATATTCATCTTTCAGTTTTATCTAAATTCTTTTGTAAGCGGGACGTAAGAGGACGACAGAGAACCCAATATCTCATGAGTGCAAGAAGTAGGATTCAGAGGGTATCTACGAGTTTGCCATGCAGCAGTTTGATTTTCTTCTATTTCTTCGCTCGAGTTTCAGAGAGGTCGGTTTGGAGCAAGTCTATATTGTGTTGAGAACATCATTGCTTTTCAAGATTCCTCATCTAATATAAACTAGTGGAAGCCATGGTTATGGCTGAGTTTGCTGCACAAAGCAGGTCTTTGAATATAACAATGAAATCCTCCTTAGCGTAATCGTTGTTTCTTGATAAAAACTTGCTAGAAATCGTAATTCGTGCCTTTATTACCAACAAGATAACACGTCTAATAAATGGTTCTCGAAAGGTATGATTATACATACACCAGTATTACGCACACCCTTCACCAGCTGAGCGGTGAATTTTGTTTTAGCCAACCACAGCGCGTTTAGCTGTTTTGCCGTCGGCCCTCATAATTCCCAGGCAACTGTAACTCAACTTTTGCTTATTTATCTGTTTCCTTTTGACTAAATTATACATATCTAAAAGAAGCAGAAATATTGAAAAGAAGAAATAAAACAATTTCACTTTACCACAACTCATAGTCGGTCATTTTGTCTAATCTGGTTTGCGCGCCGCGTTCACCGCTCAGCTGGCACGGGCTCCCAGTCGGAAAGAGTATTGATTTCAAAACTTTTTTAACACATTTAAATGACTAAACAATTTGGCTCCATCGTATATTTCCCACCACCTAATACTAGAAGACTAATAACCTATACTCGAACATGGCGTTCCAGCTCTAAGCATCCCTCTCTCCAACCCATTCTATATGTTGTTGCTTCGAACTTCCCCTTGTTTTACAGAATGGAGAGCAAACTGGAACGTTTTAAAAAAAATCAAACCATTCCTTTTTAGAATGTACTAGTAATATATGTATAGTTACAAAATCAGATACTGCGTGACTCCGACTAATATCCTAACATTACATTTACTACAAAGAATACCTCGAGTGCAATTCCCGCTTGTCTTTGGCTTTCTGCATAAAGAGTGTTTCCCATTGCGAGTAAAATGCCATGTACAGCTCGTAACTGTAAATACAAAGATTGGAGGGGAAAAAAGAATTTTAAAAAATGAAATGAGAAATAGTGGCTGATTTAGTACCAAATAACTTTATACAATTACCCCATTCATACCAGACCTTTAATCCTATTTGAAGATGGCGGCCGATTAAAAAACGAAGTATATTTACGTCTTCAAATTGGAGACAGGACCGCCTTGTAACTTGGTCATCCGAGCCACGAGGGATTCACAGTTCCCAATGTAGAGAGCCAAAGTTTGACGCCTAACAAATTTTTCCCCTCAGCCAGCGCTTGAACCCTGGCTTGAATCAGGTTTAAGCTAAACCGCTTGTACACAAATCATTTAAGTATTTTTAACTCAAGTGAATATAATAAATAAATGGATAGAGAGTTTAGTTTAGTTTTTTCAACTTTCATTTTAGACACAAATCGACACTGAACAAGCGTGCGCGCTATAAAAGCATAAGAGGTAAATCGTAACAATGAGCGCGCAGGATTTATAATATTCACTTCTGTTAAAAATACTGATAATGAATATCAGCTGTTTTCAATTGTATTTTCACCTGAACAAGGCTTTCGGCTATTTCTGGAGATTCCTTGGCTAAAATACTAAAAGAAAAATAGGGCAAAATAGTTTAATAATATATTTTTGGAGGAACCCTCTTACAGTACTCGTACCGACGTTAGTGGCCTAAACTCATGGTTTTGATGAAATTGAACAATTTAGAATGCGTTTGCACGGTAACGGACAAATATTTAACAAGTCGAAACGTTTTACGCTTAGGCGTTTCATCCCAAAAACATGTGTATGTTATAGACGTGCAAATTTGAGGCCTGCAAAATCGAGGTCAAATTTTTGACTTGTTCTGATGAAAGATTAATCGGTACCTTTTAAACATCTTTCTTTGTGCCTAAAAGGCTCGTCCAATTTTGARAACTTTCAAAACATCACTCGTTCCTATCAAATCCAAATTGTACTCGAGATCGTATACGCTTTCCTATACTAATTTTATTGAGGAACTATTATATATATACACGTTTCGGGCTTCAACAGGGCAAATGAACCAACAAATTTTGCATGGGACTATTTTTTTTCTTTTTTCCCCGTTTTCCGAAAGAGAACATTAAAAAAAAAAACTTCTGGCAAAGTTTGAAAAAAAATGGCATGCGTTTTACTCATTGAAAAAGCGGAAAAGCGGCAAGTGTACATTTTTTGCACTCGTTTTAGACGGAAAATTGTCGAGCACAGTACGAATAAAAAAACAATTTTCACTATATTTCTTAATTTTTTCCAATTTTTTATTTAAATATGTAAAAAGAGGTATAATTAAAAATTGCTAAAAAATTAAAGTTTTTTATCGCTTAATTCCCTTTAAAAAGTTGTTACACTCGTGCTCAATCATGAATATCTCGAAAACGACTTCGGGAGATCCCTTTTTTCTTTACAGAAGATGTAAAATCAACATTAAATTTCGGTTTATGCCGAAAAGTCGCGATTTAAAAATTTTTCAGTGTATTTTTCTATAATAAGCAGCCATCTTAAACAAAACTTACCATATCATTTTTGCAGCAGCAGCCTGCTGAACGTATATTGGAAGTGGGGGCTGAAGTTGGGGCGAATCTGGATCTGAAACAAAAAACAAACAAATAGATAGAAATAAACAAACGAGCAAACACATAGTAATGGAATTGCTTTATTAACATGACCTCAACATTTATAGGTATTGTCAAAGCGTAAAAGCTAGAAACTCTAACAATTAAATAACAATGAAATATTGTTATGTTATGAATATTTGTTTTGTTTTGTTTTGTTTTATATATAAATGTATATATAGGAGTAAAATATATGTCTTATATAATGAAAACGATAATATATTTGATATTCTTTTATGATTTACTGATGATGTAAACGCTATTCCAACAGAAGAAAAATCTACTGTTTGTTAATTCTAGAATCTTCTTCTTGACGAAGTTTAAAGCATTTAAACACATAGCACATAAATAAATAGGTAGGTAGGTAGATAGGTAGGTAGGTAGGCAGGTAGGGAGGTAGGTACTGTAGGAAGGAAGGAAGGAAGGAAGGAAGGAAGGAAGGAAGGAAGGAAGGGAGGGAAGGATGGCAAGCAAACGGTCCTTGCAAAGAGTAAGCTGACTAACCAGCAATAACTGATTCAGCACTTTCTTGTACATCATCTTTTGTTGGTTTCAATAATGACACAAGTCCCTTTAGAATTGCATTTCTGATGTTGTACTGCATTAGGTCCTTGATCAACTCGCATGCTTCATATTGCACTTCCAGATGAAGTGATCTCAATAGCATTAAAACTGGATCAACTATGGTTGGGCTTGCTGTTCCAATAACAGGCTGAAACATAAACAAATTCAGGATGACTGTCGCTCAATGATAAATATTTCAGATGGCACATAAAGAAATAAATTTAACATTTAACAATAAATTTAAGTAATATATACAGTATGAGTGGCCGTGAGGCGTAGCCGAGAGTTTGTATATCAGATACAACACGGACACGAATACTGTAGATTGCTTATCAAACGTCTAGGTTAGTTGCTTTGTGTTTCAAAAATTTTCAAAATTAAAGTGAATCTGCCCAAGAAAATCCAAGTTAAAGTTTATGCAAATGAACACGATTCAGTATCTGATTTACAACACTCTTCACGGTCGTGATTTCTGTTGTGTTTCCTCATGAATTATTAATGACTTTGATAAGATTTATTAACAAAGTTAGACATTTAGAAGGAAGAAATATACAGTGAGAACATTGAACACGTGAACAGTTTTTTTGCTTAATAAATTAAGATGTAAATTATTCATTGTCAATCAATTGGAGCTACAATTTATCACTCAGTGTATTTGAGCTTAATGATTCATTTTAAAGGGTTCAAAACACAGTGGAAACAGCTCTTCAAAAAAAACTTAAATGAAGTTGAGCTGTTCACGATTTGAGTGTCCACACTGGAAATTCTTGCCAAGTTATGTGTTTAAGTTATTTTATATTTCCAATATGTTACTGACTGTAATGTCATCGCAGTCTTCATTAAAGATAAAAATTTTGACTAGTTCACACAATATTTAAAAAGCATCATTAATATACTTTAGGTTTCCACACTTTTTATAATTGTAAATTTAATGTCTCATAATGGAAGAACGAGAAAAATACAATACTTTTTTTGGCGCTTAGGTCTTCTACCTAGGTTTTAGACTTAACTCATTAATAATTCATGAAGGAAACAATAGAAATCATGACCATGAAGGTGATTTTATATCTGATAAAGATTCGTCTTCATTTGCATAAACTAGCTTTCACTTGGATTTTCTCTATCAAACTTGGTTCATTTCGTAAAGAATTCAGTACAATATGAGAACATACATCATCAGTTTTTTAAGCCGTTCAATAAACTCGCAGATCATGTTTTATCAGGTCTACACACTCCTGTGAGTTTATTAAACTGTAATATAATATCTTTATAATATCTTTAACAGACTTGCAAATCTAAAGGTTACTGGAGACCTTCAGGGGTAAAGTTTCGTTTAAGACTCTCTCTTCGCAATACTTTAAACAAAACCCCATAAAACTATATATTGTTTTAAAAAAGGCCATATAATAAAAATTCAGAAAATAATATTACTTGAGAGTGATTTTTTAATTTGAAACAATGCTGGAGCCTTAAACACCAATCAGGCACGTTCAGTAGAGGTGAGTTTCTATGCATAGCAAAATTATAGTTTATCATGCACAGCAACTCCAGCCTCGGCTTGGAATTATTATTCATGGTCACTGAACAGAACTGTAACATTGAGTATTAACTCACTTGCAATACAATTAATGAAGCTCAATATAAATTTGCTGTACACAAAAATTATTGTATAGCAATGGAATAGCCATTTAATAATTACCTGGATGATTCTCAGTGTTTGGGCTGCCATTTGCTGTGCTTTTGGTGAAGAAGACTTGAGAAGTGCTATTAATGCTTTGTATACTTGATTTTCATATTTAGGATTGCCCTGTCGTGAAAACAGTAGTACAATAAAAGAGTTGGAGATGTTCAGATAATTAATTAGATAAGAAATTTATTAGACAGGAGTGTCGGCAGCTTTGTTTCATTTGGCTGAGTGAGGATTAAGTAAGCTTATGAAGTCTAATATTCCCAGGAAAGGCACTCTGCTAAATTTATTAAAGCAAGGGAAACAATACCCTGTGAAAACAGTAGTTATTTTTCTTCCCCTCTTTAAGGGCTAAGCTATTAGCAGCAGGCTTGCCTGATGCCAGAATGAGGGCAAATGTGGGAAGCAACTATGGGTAGGGTATTGGTGAGCGCTTGCCTCTCACCAATGCGACCCGGGTTCAAGTCCCGACAAGCTCAGTGCTTTATATGAGTTGAGTTATTTCTTAGTTCTCTCCTGTGTGTACATGCTTCAAGGGTTTTCAGGGTTCTCTGGCTATCCTCCCTCCACAAAAATCAACTTCTAAAAATTCCAATTGGAATCCAGTGGAAGAAGAGCCTGACTCTGTGGAATCCACTGTTAATCCCATTATTATAAATATATTTATATTATCATTATTATTATTACTTATATCTAAGGTTTTCTGGCTATCCTGACCCTCCATAATAATCAAATTCTAAATTCCAATAGGAATCCAGTGAAGAAAAAAAAGTGGAAGAAGAGCCCAACTCTGTGGAATCCACTGTTAATCCCATTATTATTATTACTTATTTTAAAAAGACCTCTAAGCTGCAAGCTGCAGGGTAAAAGGAGATGATGATCAACTAGAGGGGAAATAACAAAGGGATTATTTGCAGCCTAGTAAATTATCATGTTTTTAGCATAAATGTTTTTAGTTCAATTTAACAAGAGATGGTTTGATTTTAAAGTTTTACTGCACCCTTAAATGAACTTCAAATAAACAATGGAATACTTAATCTTTGTCTTAAAATTTTGCATGCTAAATGTAATCGAGATGCACATACATTTGACAACTGATGAAGCAGATTCCTGGCAAGGTCTTGAGTTTCCTCAGAGTTTGACTTTGCTAAACACTCTGCCACTGCTCTAATTCCTGTTATACATGTAACAAGTTGATCAATAGTAATCAAATATCAGAGTAACACTACTAATATTATCCTTCAAACAATTGTTGGATATGGGTCAGTTTTGATAGTTAGAGTACATTTCATCGTATTCATTCAAAATGCATCAACTTGAAACAATTGTTCAAAGGCAAATGGAGAGTCATGCTAAAACTGCTATTAATATTCATATATCATGATTTAGCTTTGTTAGTCTGACAAGTAAACAGTTCATTAAATACTTCAGCACTAAAAATAACAAGGGTGGATCCAGGGTTTTTTTGAAAGGGGGGGTCTCAGGGGTAAATTTTGTGGGCAAAGGAATCCCAGTCGCATTTTTAGCACAGGAAGCCCATTTGACCTCAGGAATGACAGGGGGGTCTCGACCCCCCTGACCCTCCCCCTGTATCTGCCCTTGAATAAGTCCCTATTTACTGGTATTATATCTAATAGTGGTGGCCAAATATAATTTGCTCAGTTATCATCAAGGTGATGTCAGCTTACCAAAGCTTTCACAAACTAGCTCCTTGTATCGACGTCCAGCATTAACCACATGCATCAAGATCTTCAAGGCTTCAGCTTTGTCTTCCTAAAACAATTTTTTTGCAAACCAAACATATTTAATTATCGACCTTATGCATTTATTATTTAATGATATCCAACTTTTGATGGGTTTTTAAAAGACTTTTTGTGTAACAATGCATTTCAAGGAGTATAAATTCAAGAGTTGTGAGCAGAAATTCTCTTTGAAAACTAAAAATTTAATCAGTAAAAAGCAGCATAATGTACCTTTCTGGCAGAGTCACTTTGAGTAGCATGAACCCTATTTAACATTATCAAGGAGCTTATATCAAGTGAGTGATGAGAATGAGAAAGAGAGTGATAAAAGAAAAGAAAGAACATTCTAATTCTGGATTGCAGGGACAAATGCTTTTAATTAATTTTAATGACTTAAACTTAAACGTCAGTTCCTATTTTCACTACGGTGTAAAACTTATCAATCTACGATAACTGTTTCATTAGAAACACCGACGCAGTCCACGCTAGTGTTTACTAGCCATCATCTACATTTAGTGTAGTATGACCACTACAAAGCCATAAACATAATTTGGAGTTTCATAGTTTTCTTTTGTCCAGTGAAAACTTAACAAGGAAGCTTGAATTGTAATTTATCTTCTCTTAGAAGTACAACATTTAATCATCAGGTTGAAGTATGTATTTTGAGGCATGACCAATACAGGTAAATGAGCATTATTGATTAAACATTAATTTTTACAAAGAGATAACTATAGCCAAAAATTAGGGTGAGCTGCGTCAGTGTTTGTAATGAAATAGTAATGATAAAAGAGTAAATTATACACTGTGAAAAGATGAAAAAAAATGATTTTTCGGGCGCTTAAGTCCTTCGTTGGAGTAAAAGACGAAGGACTAGCAATTAGGACTAGTGAAGAAGGACTAGCATCCGAAATGTCATTAAGTTTTTTCATCTTTTCACAGTGTATTAAATTTACCCTTTTATCATTAATTTTTACATTGAATTTAAAACTTGTAACATTGAATTTGTAGTTACTAACCTCCTTTGCTTGATTTAAGCCCAAAATTTCTAAGACTGTAAGAACACCACCAACTTCTAGGAATTCTGCTAAGAACTTGTGGCTATATACATGAGAATAGTACATGTATCTATATAAAAATTTGCTCCTAGCAAAACAGTTTAATCTAAAATGGCCTAGTTTTCAGATATAATATGTGTTAATATGTACTAAAAAATATTCTGAGCATTTGCTGGCAATTCTATTTCTCTTTGTGGATTGATACGGGTTTTAGGTGAATTTAATTTTTGGTGAATTTGCGTTAATTTGACCCCCTCCGACGACCATGATCCTTTGCGTTTAAACGATAGATTGGCTAAAGAGAGAGAGAGAGCCCATGAGGCCGAACTCATATGCCATCATGAGGGCAAGAGGATCGACTAATTGTTTCAGTCAAATCCAACTAGTCAAAACAAGTCTTGAATTAAAGTTAAATTCAATTTTTTGGCTTTCAAAGCCAGCACTTTTCGCTGCTAGTAGGCTCATAACTTTATTAGCCTACTAGTAGCTCATCCAATCAGAAAGATGCATTATGACTAGACTGCAAGTTGGATTTGACTAAATGACCTTTAACATTAAAGTGCACAAATATCCAGTGTTTATTTTTATCATTGCATTTAATTCAAATGTATAATGCGTTTAAAGAAAAGTTTTATCTTACCCACTAGAAGCTCCAACGAAGATGCCAATTGCCTGTAGCTGTATCTTAACATGGGTTCCCATCATATATCTTATGTAAGATAAGTCAAGGTCGATTATTCAAAAAACTAAAATGAATTAATACATGCAAAGGAAGATGGATGTTTCTCACATTCCTCTCTGTCTCACACGCACACTCACACTCCCTCCACTGCCTATCTTTCTTAATCATGTATCATGCTTAACGTTAACAATAATACGTAAGTCTAAGCCATGCTGTTAGTCTCGTCAAAAATAAACTTGCTGCATGTGCAAACTCCAGTTCGAGTTCAGGCCCAGTTTTGTAAGTGTTTTCACAAACAAAATCCTGAAGCATTTTCACTCTGGTGCTCTTTGAGCCTCTATCCCAAGTTTGTAGGAGTCTAGTTACAGATGCTTGATCGTTCTTCATCGTTATTGGTAGATAGAATTTCCAGAATGTAATCTACAGTAGCCGATAAAAAGAAAGGCAAACTAAGATTAATTTTTATTAATGTTTTTTTAATCATTTTTATTTAATACAGAGCAATGGATAACATCTTCCAAGTTCACAAGTAAAAGGTGATTGTGATTTAGGTTTTAGCTGTAATTTTATATGTACTTTACAGCTTGGGATTTCTACCTGTTTCTGTTTTACCACCAAAATTGCTCCCTATTGGTCTTTCAAACTTAAAACTTCAAACCAGAAAGGTGGGAATTGAGGAGATACATACCCAGTCATACCTCGCTTGTACCTATCTTTTAAGTTCATCACAGTCATGATTATTGTTTGATTTTACTTTTGTAGTATCACAATTTTGTCATTTTTTCGTTTCCTTATGTAGTGTTTAAAAAACGAGCAGGAGTGTTATATCAGGTATAAAACATGATCTACGAGTTTTTTTGAACTGCTTAAGACACTCATGAACAATTTATAAGATTTTGGTTCCACTGGAGCCTGACCATACACGTCACGAACATGGATTTTTATACTTCGATAGAAATTTGACGTCACGGGCCTGGGCAACCAGATTCAATAGAATCTCCCACACATTGGATATTGCGTGCCAAGGCAAAGACAGGCACGTTAGTCAAAGATTTTTAGGGTTGACTATGGAATTGATGAGGCTCTAAGTCTTCATCTAAACTTGGATGCATACTTCATCCCTGATGAAGTTATCCTCATAGTATTCAAGTGGCCTTTATATAAAGACCACATGTGTCTTTGCATAAAGACACAATAATGTGTCTTTACATAACATCACTTGAATACTAATAAAGAGGACTTTATCGGGTATAAAGGTCCATGCACGTGTATGCTGGCTCCAATTGGACCATAAGCTTATGAATTATTAATGAGTGTTTTAACTATTTTTATGAGGAATTGTCGAACAATTAAAAAAGAGAGTTCACAGTATGAACTTTAATATCTTCAGTATTAGAAAAAGAAAAAATTGCAGACCCACATTAAAGGACTCTACAACATAAAAGCAACCATATGAAGCACAAATAACAAGATTCAAGTTGTAGTAGGTTGAGAAAGTGATCTATATCGTTTGTTTGGAACAAAAGTTTATCTTTCCGACTTTACCATAGTATGAGAAGAGAAAAACTAGCTAAAAACTAATGTGAGTTGCGTCAGTGTTTCTAATGAAACAGTAATGATAAAAGGGTAAATTATACACCATGAAAAGATGAAAAAACTTACTGACGCTTTGGACGCTAGTCCTTGGCCGGAGTCTTTAAAATAAATCTAAAACTTATGCACTTATCATTCTCTTCCCCGTGGGTTGACCCCCGGGGCACCCACGGGGCACCCACGGGGAACCCAGGGGGAATGGTAGAGTTTTGTTTTTGTTTTTTCCCCGCGGAGGAGGGGCGTTGTTTAGCTTTGGGAATGGATTCGCTGGACCACAGGAAGCTACCCACGGTATTTGTTCTATATTTGGTCAGTGTATTTTCACACTAGACTATGGTTTTTTCATGCCATCTTGTGTCTTTTCCTGAGCTAGTAGAGCGGTAAAATAAAAACAGATTCGTCTTTTGTTCTTTTCTTCTCAAATAATGCCATAATTTAAAGTGTGGGATGTGTCAAGACTTAAAAGAAAGTCTTTAATGGCAGACGATTTTGGTGAATTCGTTTCATGGTTAGCTTGGTCAAGCACAATTTGCAGCGGTGCACAAATTCATTACTGGGTTGCCTGTGGCAAACCAGTCTTAATTTCAATATAAATTCATTTTAATATGCAGTCAATTTTGATATGAATTTGCTTGAAATCATTAGCTAAAAAGAAACTTGGAATTTAGAATGAAAATATGTGTGACCATGTGTGATTTGAAATGTTGCATAACTTAAATCTCTGTATTCCTTTCCTTAGCTTCTAACCAGATCAACAGTTGCTAATTCTACCTAACAGATCAGGTTATTGCTGTTGTTTTGTTTCTTTTAACTAGTCATTCATAACACATCCTTACCAAATCAAACATGAACTCCTTTATGTTTGCTGTTCATCAAAGATGTTCAATGATTTAATATTCAAAGAAATTCAGGTTTATTGCGATTCCCAAATTTCAAACGTTTAACTGCAAACTATCAGTATTGACTTATCCTATCTTGAAGAAACTCAAATCATAGCCATGGCGATAGCTAATTGCAATCAAGCGTTAAGATCCGGAGCTGGAATCCTGTGACATTTTTGAGAAAATATATCCAGAGTAAAAAAATTCACAGCGACAAGAAGCATGAGATAAGGGCAACGATTTTTGCACATTTGCATGTGTTCACATTCAATTTTTACCATTTACATGCCAGTTAATAATTATATTTGAATAAAATAAATATGGTTTTGGGTGTACATTTCCCCCAGGGAAGAGCTATTTGTAATTAATTTATGCCCTTTACCCAGGGGCTTTGAATGGTTTTTGTTTGTCACGAAAAACAATTCCCCGGGGGTGCCCCGGGGATAGACCCACGGGGAAGCAAATGATAAGTGCATTAAACTAGCAGAAGATGCACATGACAGAGGTAGAATTACACTCTGTATAATCTTGTATTATGTAATGCCAATCTTACAAACTAAATAACACATTAACAAGATATCGTGCCCAATTTGATGAGTTTTTCTCTGGTTTTCTGCTGCCAATCAACATTGGAATCAAATGACCCACCAGGTCATTTTGGCTACTCTTTAATTTAGTTTGGTCATTTAGTTTATAACTTATCAAACTATTGACAGCGCTCTGTACTAAAATCTCTTCGAATACATGTGTGTGCAACTTTAAAAAAAAATTTTGAACTGCAATGATTTAAAACAGTTGATAAAACAACACCATCATCTATTGTTGTGATCTACAAAAATAATCCATGTGAATGTGAAAATTTAAATCATGTAAAATTGTGAGACCGAGTTTAACGAGTGAGGTTTTGTTAGGCAATATGGTTTGTAAAATTCTGTAAAAAATTAAAACTCAAACCTCAACAAATGTTAAAGTTTTTAAATGATTGTTTTATGTATTCTAGGTTTATTTCAATATCAAGAATGAATAATGATTTTTTGAGTCCAGTTTATGTTTTATAGTAGAGTCCAGTCCAGTCCACACGAGTCCAGTCCTATTTTACTATATGCTCAACTGTTTATCAGTTCTCAAAACTTATATCGCAATTAGTCATTTATCGCAAACCAGTAAATGTATTGATGAATTGCAAAATTTAAAATATATTTTGAAGTGAACTTCGCCAGACCACTATAATTACTCTACCGTGGCTTAACTTGTAATAGACCGACCAACATTTCTCGCTTACTTAGCTTTGAAATTTCAAACAAATAACTGTAGATAGTAACGATTACTTGTCACAATATGTCAGTTCTAACCTTGAGGTATTGCAGTATTATCCTAAAAATTGTAATTTTGATTTCGATTGTTGCAATGCATCAATAAGGTAAGGAGGATAAATCCCCAAACATTTTCTCTTCCACAACTGTTTTCTAGCTGCAGTTCGCCATCTTGTTACTATAACAACTATCCGAGCTTTATCTCGCAATGGTACTTGGGAAAACTATACTACCACAGGGAGCCCACTCTAGACAAAAGTATTATGATGTGGTTGAGAATTATCTTTGAGTGCTTAGTTACAGAAGTCAGATATGGACCAAAAATAAATATCCTTATCCTAAATTACAACTGATAATTGTAGGAAAGTCCCGCCATTTAGATTTGTGACACCCTAAGAGGTACCCGATTGCAAATCTGGAACCCTAAAAGGTACAACGAGCATCCCCGCCCTTATTTCGAATCAGTGTCCATGAGTAAATCGATGAGTGAACTAAATATTCTTCAAACGGTAATTTAAAGAATGCGAGATCACCGATCGTAAAAAAAATCGAGTCTGCAATGCAGGCTAAACTTCATGTAAAAGAATAATATTTCAAAATACAATTCTAACCCTTAATCAAATAGAAGGAGAAATGGCATTTTCCTGAAAGTCTTTGTATACACTTATTTCAATAAAGTTAGTCGCCTGAAAAGCTACAAAGCTGAGACCAACAAGGATTATGGGTAGTTACATTTTACATGTTTCAACCGCTTTAATAACTGTTCATGGATCATTAGATCCTTTACCAGTTACAGTCTCACCTCTCTTGAGCACCCCCAAGCTGCAAATTGTATCAAAAGCTTTACTTGTTTGATATTAAAAGTTTCGCATGATCCTCAGTGATCTCAGCTTTCTAGGTTTTTTGGTGACTAACTTTATTGAAATAAGTGTATAGTAAGTCGTTTATCAGAGATAATGGGCGTTTGGATAATTAATATGCAATAAAAAGGGGGGTTACCATACGAATACGTCATTAATGACAGCTATGGCCGTAACCGGAAGTCTATCAAGACAAGACCCAAGCGGTAGGGTAGACCGAGTCACCCAATGTTACCCGGCAAAAAAAAAATTAGTTATTTTATCACTCAAACTTTGTAATGAAATAAAATAAAAAGAACCGATAAAATGAAAAATTATGAGAATAGCAACTGAGATCCCAATAATTGATTTGGGGGAAGATATGGAATTTACAGCGGCTGAAGCATGTTAGTAACAAAGAAGCCAAAACCTTTCGAGGAAAATCATCCGACTCAGTAAAAAGCAATGTGTTCGTAAGACTAGGGACACTAAAGATTCGAACAAGATAAAGATAAGTATGGAAGTTAAACAGTCGGAAAGGACCAAGAAAACAACAAATTGTTCTGTTTCAACATTCAAAGGTAGAATAACATTTTGTTACTAATTCTTATGATATAAGCATACATATATAAAATCATCATAACTGATCATGAAAGTCGAAATATGGTCTGACCAAACGTTCCACTGCAGTGAACTTCACTTTTTGTCACAGACTCGGCAAAAATTATTTCACGTCCGTTGTTCCAGTAAAAGTCCAGCTCAGCCGAACTTCCCCACCCATCATTAGTGGCATTGCAGCAAAACAATTAGAGTGTTTTCGTTTTAGCGGCAAAAGCTCGCATTTGGCACAAGGAAAGGGTCTATTGTAGGAAACCAGTTAGCTGTGACCGTTTTTCACGATATTCAATTGAAATAACTGCATGGGCTAATTATTTGTATTTGTAAAAGCTATTATATTTTTCAAACACAATTAACACTTTTGTTATGTTTTATTCTGTAAAACGTAAAACCATAGATTTCATCGATGCGTTCAAACCCTGCCTCGAAATTCAGCGGATAACTTCTTTTTCATCTCGTAAAAAAATTATAAAGACTTTATTTGCCTAAATCTACAGAATAAAAAAATATTACAAACTCGAACTTTGACGTGGGTGAAAAATGGAAAATAGTACAAATACTGAATGTGTTTATCGGCTTTAAGGATAAAAGTAAGAACGTTAACATAAATTTTCTGCACTTTGGGGCGAGGACTAACGACAACCGACAAAAAGTAGGACATTTGGTCTTCAGTGGTGTTCGTCGGGAAAGCAGTCTGATGCTTTAATAGCTTCTCACATTCTCGCTACTCTTCTCAATTGCAAAGGCGCTTTCTGTTTGTTAGAAATGCACAGGTTTTTACAAGTAGAAATGGTCTCTTGTGGCGAAAAACAGCAGAAGTCGATTGGTACACTTTTAAATAACCTATGGCATGCTCTATTTTCACACGTATCTTTCGGAGTTCCCTGTTGGCGTCCCTTGTTCTTTTATTTCGTACAATAAGACGAGGCCAAAGCAAAAGCATTCTTGCTGCATAACCGATCCATCTGACGCCAGGCGACATAGCGTCGAAATCGAAGTATACCATTCGGTCCAATTGACTGAATGATCCTGTTTTTTTTTTTTTTTTTTTTTTTTTTTTTTTCTTCCAGGTGACCTGGAAATGATCTATATAACCACAAAGAATTGAACAAGAGACCATAAGGGTAGGATGAACCATGCACTGATGCCGATATTTGAAAAACACTTACCCGGATATTACTATAAGAACAATCATGCTTTTAATAATAATTTGCGACGACATAAAGTGAGGCTTATTGTCTTCTCTGTAAAATTCCCTTTGCAGAGCTCCCGTAGGTCGTCGAATTGGGTGTGTTGTACCATGTATTATTATATGACCGTGAATCTTAGAGCCTGGACACTAGCAAATCGAGCAATCTGATTGGATAGATCGCATCGCGGATTGGTCTAGATTCTCCGATATTAACCGGTCCGATCGCATATCAATCTTACGGCGAAAACATTTTGTCCTTTTCAATGAAAAGTGGTCATATAATAAAACTCTTATCAACCGAGCTTGGTCGGTCTGTACGGGATAATCTTGACCTCGGTCGGGTACAGACCTCGCGCCTCCCGCTCGGTTAATAAGATCTAATTATTCCAGCGATGTTAGGGAATCTGCGCCAGAGATCCACTGAACAAGATTTGGCCAACTAACAATTCTTTGATAGTTGAGAAAGAGAATAGGGACGATATGGTACACTTCTTCGAAAACATTCTTTTCGTTAATAGCAAAATAGGTTACCAGTAGAAAGTAGGTCGGGTACGTCTTCAGCCATATCAAAACTAGTAAGACTCTGTTATTTATATCCAGCAGACATCGATGCCTTCGATTTGTTCGAGACTGATGCAACACACATCTGGCCGAGCACTCACCGTACCAACCTACAGCTCGTACTATGTATTTTCAAAAGACTCAGTTGTTTCTCCGCTTAAGTACCAAAGATTATATGGAGTTCTTCTGATGACATAATAAAAATCTCGTCCCAGGTGTCAGTTTTTTTGAAATAGTTGTATACGCCTGCACTGAACATGATATTTTGTATTTATAAATTGAATTTCCGGTAACTACAAATCTGAAATAAAATAAAAATACATTGTTTCGTTTGATTTGTTGCTTAAATAGTTCTAACCGTCCTTTTGAAGCGTGTGAACTTGTTCTAACATTCCTTTTGAAGCGTGTGAACAAGTTCTAACCGTCCTTATGAAGCGTGTGAGCAAGTTCTAACCGTCCTTTTGAAGCGTGTGAACTAGTGCTAACCGTTCTTTTGAAGCATGTGAACTAGTGCTAACCGTCCTTTTGAAGCGTAGGGAGGACAATCTTTTAATCTTCCAGAATTAGCGTCAGGTTTTGGCTGCAAGAAATTCAAATGTAACACCTACTTCATTGGGGAGGGAAAGGTGAGTTGTAAAGGCGGTACACTTGGCCTGGGGGATCATACATTTGTTGCTCATAAAAACATGTTTTTTTTTTTACGATCAAAGCAAAACAAATAACACCATTGATACCTATTTTACTTGGTCTCTCAGAATATGGTAGTTTTTGCCTCAAAATCCAAAATCGTGGAAAATCCCTTTTGGATTGGACTTTTCTTAGGTGGACTGTGGGAATCGACATTTTCTTTGCATTGTTGTTTCATGTCAAAATCAATGTTGAAAGTCTAACGTACATCGAACAAGTGTTTTGCAGCAAGTATTTTTAGAAATTACTAAGAAAATAAGGCTTTTATGCAAAGGAAACGGTTAACTTATTTTGCAATTTCTTTTCATTTTTAACCAGCAGGAATCAAAAAGACGTTCGTACAAACTTGTTAACTAGTGGCCATGCCAGATCACATGCTAAAACAGAAGGAGAACCGATTGTACACGACCTGCACCATAGAAAGCACATTATCGTGGGTCTTGGTTTCAAAGGAATTCATTCATCACCACATCAATGGGAATGAAGTGAAAACAGAAAACGTGAGAAGTGGTGATTTTTATGTGTTCAAATATATAAATCTGTGTGTTTATACACTATTTAATTGATGGTCTGCCTGTGGTGCGACAAAGGTACACATACCACAGGAAGCCCAATTTTTTTCTACAATTGTTTTGAATCAGCTTGGAGAGCAGGTTGTGACTTAAAACCTTCAAGTACGTTCATGACTGGCCTGTTTTGGTTAACGAAAAAAATTAAAGAATGGAGTTCAAAATTTGGTTACGAACATAAAGGGTCCTTTCACTGGATTTTTAAATAGTCATGATACCATATGAGGGAGCGACTTCTTCGCACTCCACTGAAAGGACCTTTTTTTATACKCGAACAGTCAATGAGATATATTCATCCAAGCAATACAACAAAAACAACAACAGCAACAACATATTAAAAGGGATAAATACGTTCTAAAAATTGATTAGGAACTTGAAGGGTCACTTCACTGGATGTGAACGAATAAGACTATAAGGAGAGACTTTTTCACATTCAGTGAAAAGACCTTTTACATGCATAATCTAAAACTTAAGTCCGAACCATTTGACAAATAAAATGTCCTTTGGAATCGCTTGGCACTACTTAATCATAATTATAGGATAGTTTGGAAGTTATTGCATTGATTGGGATAGATGTTTTTTTAAGTAAATGCATGCCAAACTGCTGGCCATTTGAAATCCTAAACTGGGTGCCGTACAAGAGACAAATCTGATAAATAGAATGTCCATTTGGAATCTTATGCCTTAACGTGATTTAGTAGAATAT